AGCCGATAGCCAATCCACGCCGCCGTCACCGCCCGGCCGCAGCCAATCACGCGCCGTCTGCCCGAGCCTCACGCCCAACAACAGAGACAAAGGGGCCGAGCCCCGCCCCCTGCGTGATTGACGGCAGCCGCGACCAACCGAAAGCGGAGCACCGCTCTGAGGCCGTGATTGACTGCGACCCCAACCAATGGCAGCTCAGCCCTGCGCCGGCCGGAGGGCGCAGCCTCCCTCGCCCCGCCCCGGGGCGGGCACTCGATGCTGCACAGCCAATGCGCGCGCGGGCAGGGCTCCGTCCGTCTGATTGGCGTGGCGGCTGACCAATCAGCGTCGCCGCTCTTCGCTGGGCAGGGTCCCAGCCAATGGGCGCTGCCGGAGAGCGCCCCGCCCACCAGACCGGTGGGYTCTTCCACAGCGCTGCCCAGGGAGGGTGGTCTATACCATTGTGCTCCCGGGGGGTACCGGACTGTACCATAATGTCTCCCCCATTCCAGCAGACACAAACACGGTTCCTTCACCAACAGCCTTTAATCAGCTCTATAACACCAGGTCCTGCTCTTCTCTGGGACCTCCTTTATCCCCCCAGGACCACCCTCAGCCCCTGCTGGGGTCCCCAACMCTGTGTCTGCGGTGGAGGGGCTGGRGCCCTCCGGAGCTCCACATCCCCGCTGTCCATATTGAGCTGGAGGAACCAGAGTCCCCTGTGTCCATGAGGAGCTGAAGCCGTCCTACTCCCTTATGTCCACATGGAGTGGCCAAAGCCTCTGTATCCAGGGCAGAGGGCTGGGAGTTCTGACCTTCTATATCCATGTGGAGGATCTGGAGTCCCCTGCAGCCCTCCAAGTCCACAGCARAGTGTCTACAAGTTTGTCTTCCAAYCCTCTGTGTCCATGCGGAGAATCCAGAGTCCTCTGAAACTCCCTGTGTTCACRTGTAGGGTCTGGAAGCCCTGTTCTGGCCCTTTGTCTCCATGGCCAAGGGTCCATAGCCCCAAGGGGGGCACCCTGGTGTCTGCAGCAGCCGTAGATTGTGGCAGCAGCAGCCCAGACTGCAGTGTGGGTGGTCCCTGTGTCCATGGGGAGGCTCTGTAGCCCCCGGGGAGAATCCGTAGCCCTCCAGAGGGGTCACCCCGCCATCTGCAGCAGCTGCAGGTTGCGCTGGTAGCAGCCCAGGCTGCAGAGCGGGCGGCCGGTGCGGGCGCAGCTGTAGCGTTTGGGGTTGGGGCAGCCGGGCACGGCGCAGGGCTGGGCGGGGGGCACGGGCGGGGCGGTGGCGGCGGGCAGCGGCAGCGGCAGCCCCGCGGGGAAGGACACGGTGACGCCGTCGGCGGCGCTGCGGTAGTGCACGACGGGGCAGGGCGCGGGCCGGGCGCGGCGCTCGCGMAGGGCCCTCACCTTGGCCTTGTGGGTGCGGGTCAGGCGCTCGATGGTCTGGTTCTTGCTCTCCTCGGCCTTGCGGGCGGCCTGGAGCCGCCGGCGCCGCGCCCGCTCCTCCCGCTTCTCCCGCATCTCCTCCGTCACCTCCTTGGCCTTGGCGCCCATGGGCAGCTGCAGCAGGGGTTGGCTCTGCTGCTTGTGCAGCAGCGCACGCTGGGGGGACATGGGGGTGTCAGGGTGGGGATGAGGGACTGACAGATCCATGCACGGCCCCTCCCCAGGGCTCTAAACTTGCCCTCCGCCAGCTATAGAGCTCCCCGAGGGTTCAGGACTGGGTCCCTGATGGCTCCAGCTCTGCCCACACCAGTCCTGGGGTCCTTGCAGCTCCCTCAGAACCCCCCAGCCATCCCTCAGCCCTGTCCCAGTGTCCCCAGAGCCCCCCCCAGTCCAGTCCCCACCAGTTCCAGCACCCCCAGCAGCTCCCTTGCCCCCCTCAGCCTTGCCCCTCGTGCCCCCTGACCTGCCGGGCCGTCAGAAGGGACTCGTCCACCTCCCTCTTGATGTCGCCGTTGTCGTCCAGCTCCCCCCTCTCCAGGGCTGCCAGCCAGCGCCGCTCCTCCTCCTCCTCTTCCTCCTCCTCCTCCTCTTCCTCCTCCTCGCCCTCCTCTCGGGGAGGGAAGCAGTTCTCAGGGTCCAGCTCGGGCAGTGGGGAGGGGGCCAGGTTGCTGTCCTCATCTGAGGGGGGCCAGCATGGGGACAGTCACAGAGGGTGAGGGTTACCCAGGGTCACACCGGAGCCACRAGAGGGGTCCAGGTCACCCCTGTCCCCACCCAGCCCTCACTCCGAGCCCCTGTGATCCCCTCAACTCACCCAGCCAGGCYCGGTACTGCTCGATAGGGACCCCCTCGCTGGGCTCCTCCTCGTCCCCCGCCAGCAGCGGGGAGGGGGATGGCGAGTGCGGCCCCTCACGGACCACCGTGAACGTGGGGACACTGTGGGGAAAGAGAGGAGTTACGGGGGTCCCGGTGAGGGGGGACACGGAGCCATGCCCGGCCCAGGCTTCCCCCTCCTCCTCCTCCTCCCACATTTCGGTGCCCCCGGACCCCCCAGCTCCCTCCTCACCTCTTGGTGCCCAGGATCTGCCCCCCCAGCTTGATCCTCAGCCGCAGCCGGGGCTGCCGGGGGGGTTCGGGACCCGGCGACGGCCCCGCCTCGTGGTGGTGCCGCTTCTTGTGCTTTTTCTTGTGTTTCTTGTGTTTCTTCTTGTGGCCGCCATGGCCGCCCGCCTCGGCCTCCTGCCCTGTGGGGGGACACGCAGGGTCAGCGAGGGGGCTCTGCCCCGCTGGAGAGGGACCCCGCAGCCTCCCCCGGACCCCTCCAGGATCCCCCCCGACCCCGCGCCCTCTCACCGTGGCCGCCGGCCTCCATCGCTCCGCGCCGCCAGGCCCTGCGCATCCGCCTGTGGGGGACCCAATTCGGGCAGGACCCACTTCCGGCCGAGCTCACTTCCGCCCGGACTCGCTTTCCTCGGCCATCCGGGCGGGTGACGCCGCTGCCGCCATCTTTGAAGCGGGCACGTGGTGCAGCGTTCCGGAGGGAAACCGGCACCGAGGGTGTTTTTGGGCCGCCCGCGCCAGATGTGAGAGCGCACAGATGTGTGAGAAATGACAGGGGTGAGCACGGATGTGAATTCACGTGTGAGCTGTGCAGATGTGCGTGAAACCACGGGGCGAACACGCCGGTGTCATCACAGGGGTGATCAGGGGTCCGGGGTGGGGCTGTTCCTGCCCAGCAGTGAATCCCGGGGGTCCTGGTGGCGATGGAATCCTGGGGGACATCGGGAAGGGCAGTGCCAGCAGGACACAGGGTGATCCTGCCCCTCTGCCCTGCCCGGGTGAGGCACATCTGGGGTGCTGTGTCCAGGTCTGGGCTCCTCGGGACCAGAGAGGTCCAGGAGTGGGGCCAGAGGAGGCTACGAAGGTGATTTGGGGTCTGGAGCACCTCCCAGTCTGTGGGAGCTGGATATGGTTTGTCCCGGGAGAAGACTGAGACAGGACCTCATCAATTCACACAAATATCCCAAATATCTGCATTAAACCCTCAAATACCCACCCAAATATCTCCAATAGCCACACAAATCTCTCATCTGAGAAGAGATCCCATCAATCCCCGCAAAAACCCCATCAATCCCCGCAAAACCCCCATCAATCGCCACAAAAACCCCATCAATCGCCACAAAAACCCCATCAATCCCCACAAAAACCCCATTGATCCCCACCAATCTCTCCTCGGGCTGTCAGGACCGTGCCCAGGGCAGGACCAGGGAGGAGTTTTGGCCGCGGACTAAACCCAATCCCAGCTCAGCTCGAGGCAGAGCTGTTCCCCACGGAGCAGCCAAGCGCTGGGAGAGGTCACCAGGCGTGTGTCACCTCTCCAGGTGGCACCGCCCGGGCGGGGGGTGGCACTGGGACATCTCCAGACGGCTCCGCCGGGATTCCCTGCGGGCACACGCGCGTGTGTGTGACGGCTCCGTGCCCTCCGGTGGCCGCGACRCTCGTGCGCACACACAGAGATGTCACACACACGCAGATGTCACAGCCCGACACGCACAGATTCCCCCCCGGAATGACACAGAGACGCCCCCGCCCCCCGCCCGCAGCTGCCGCTGCCCCGGGCCATTGTCCCGCCCGTGCCAGGAGCCGCCGGCACCGATCGCCGCCGCCGCCCCCCCGTGAGGRACCGTGCGGGGCCGTGAGCGGCGATCCCGGCATCTCCCGGTCCGTCCCGGTGTGTCCCGCTTATCCCGGTGCACCGGAGCCCGGGCGAACTCCGGGGAACCCCCCGAACTCTGCGAACCCCGGGACTCCCTTGGCTCCTCTCCCGGAGCACCGGGATCGCCCGGAAAGCTCCAGAGGACCGGGACAACCTGGGACACCGGGAACACCGGGATCCCCCACAAAACCCGGGTGCGTTGGGACTCCGGGACCCCCCGAGATTTCCCGGACCCCGCAAAAGCTTCCAGAGCTCGGGATCCCCGCGGGACCCCCGGGAGCGGCGGGACCGCCCAGAAACCTCTGGATTCCGGGACACCCGGACCATCCCGGACCCTCTGGACCCCCCGGGACCCCCGCCCATGTTCCGGCGGGACGAGCGCAGCCGCGCCACGGTGGCGCGGGGGTCAGCGCTGGATATGGAACTGCGCCGGGGCCTCCGCTGCCCCCCGGCCCCGGTATCGCAGGTACGGGAGCACCGGGAGCACCGGGAGCACCGGGAGCACCGGGAGCAGCGGGATCAGCCCGGGCACGAGGCCACGGGGGCGGCCGCGGCCTCTCCCTGCCCCCCGGGTCCCCCGGCCCGTCCCGTCCCGTCCCGCTGCCCCGGCCCAGCCGGGAATTCCGGTGGGATCCGGCACAGCGGGAAGCGCCCGCGCCCCCGGCACCCGACGGGTGGGGGCACTGGGAGGACTGGGAGAGACTGGGAGGGGCTGGGGGTGTGGGGAGGGGACAGGGGAGTCCCGCAGGTTGGGGTGGCGGTGCCCGGGAGGGCAGGTGGCAGAGGAGGACGTGGTGTCAGGGGACACGGGACACTTGGCATCTTTATGGGGGTCTCAGTGCCCGCGGGAGGGTGGGGTTTTGGTGGGCACAGAGGGTCCCAGTTCACCCTGTACCAGCGACATTTGGGGGTCCCGGTGCACTGTGGGGGTCCCGGTGCACGGGATGGTCTCGGTGCATTCGGGGGGTCCCAGTTCACCCAGTCCCGGCTGCCCACAGAGGGGTCCTGGTGTACCGGGGGGTGTCTCAGCTCACCCAATGTCGGGGGTCTCGGTAAATTTGGGGAGTCCCGATGCACATTCAGGGGTCCCGATGCATTTGTGGGGKGTTCCGGTGCATCCTGGGGTGGGTCTGGTGCATTTTGAAGGCTCCCGGTGCACTTAGGGGTGGTCCCGGTGCTTACGGGGGTCCCGGTCTTTCAGTACCGACTGCTCTTGGCGGGGCTCCCSGTTCGTTCGGGGGTGTCTCGGTGCKCTCTGAGGGCTCTTGGTGCTCTCGGGGCTCGTCCCGGTGCATTTGAGGCCGTCCCGGTGCACTTTGGGGAGGTCCCGGTGCATCTCGA